TTCACTTTCTTCTTGCCTAACCCTTTGGACCTAACAGGTACAAGACAACTCGGACGCTTGGAATTCCAACACCTAGTAACAGCATTACATCATGCGCTGTCAAACAGCGACTGAACCGTGGCGAGATATGACAGAGGGTTTGTTTTGAGCATGGTTGCCCGGGAGATGGAAGACAGAACAAATGCCAAGAGGTTGGATGGTTATGGAATGTCAAGGGGCGATGGAGCTGCTAGAGTTTGTACAGGTCAGAGTTGTTTTTGGATTGAGTTTTAAAACATACAATCTATCTGCATTGAAGCCGCTCAACATTTACATTAAATTCAGTGATCTAGCAGACACACCCATCCAGAGCGACCCACAGGAGCAGCCAGGGTCAAGCGCCCCACCCAAGATCCCCCACAGTTCTCGAGAGCTGCCCCTCAACCATCCGAGACCCCCCCCCCTCCACAGAATAGCACCCTATTCCCTATATTTGCTCTGGTCAAAAGTAGTGCACTACATAGGAAAAGGGAGCCATTTGGGACACAGCCTATCTGCTGTGTATCAGAAGGTCTGTTTTTTGGCGTCCCCGTGCTGTTGGGGAACTCTTCTCCCAGAGAGTGATTGATATGTTGTTTCCGACTGTACCATTTACGGGGCGGACGGGGGGTGAGGGGGGGTCAGTGTCGGTCAGGCCTCTGCCCCCGCCCTGACGTGTGACATCCTCTACTGCGGTCACATACCCCCTAAGAATAGCACCGTGTTAAAATACACCTCACAACAAAAGACTGGGAAGCCACTATGACACATCGCATCAGTCATATTTTATATCAAATCATATTACAAACCTAAGAAATTGACAATTGCACGTTACATGACCAAAAAATAAGAGAATTAAACAAATAAGATAATAAGATATATTTTTTAAACATAATCAACTAAACGCAAATCACCACAGAGCCGCCCCACATCCCAATTTAACTTAATTTAACTTAATCCCATTGCCTATCTGCTATAATTTAACACCTCCATTAAAACAGCACTAGCTACAACACAGAGACAGCAACCTGCCACGGCAACCACGAGAATGAGACCAAACAATAACAAACTTTACTGCCAAGAGAAAGACACCTGCTACAGTACAACAGCCCCACCACCACAACTATAGCCCCACAACAACACACAGGAATGAAAACCACCTGCTAGGTCAGGATACACTGAACACAGAACCACATACAGCCTCCCCCAACGACAATATAGCGTAGCCGAGATTAGCCACTCGCTATGGGACTGTCACTGGACACCAAGACAGCATGCTACTACAATTCGTACATTGTGACACCTACCTTAGTCAGTGTCCATTCAAAACAACATGCCGAAGCCACATGTCAGGATTATAGTTGTCTTGAGAGAACACAATGGTGGCATGCTTGATGAAGGTTGTGGAGTGGTGAAGGGTAGCAGTGCTTACTTGGAAAGCATTTTCGTTTATCAAAAATGTTTATTTTTAAAGATGACGTTTAGTCCTATCCCCCCCAAAAGTCAAACCATGGAGACAGACAGGGAAGGTATAACAGTTCAGACAGTGTGTGTGTGTGTGTGTGTGCGCGCGCGTGTGTGTGTGTTCATGTGTGAGAGAGGGGGCATTTAGCACAATGACCAATCTCCTGTGTATTTACCTGGTCAGACACACACACACACACACACACACACACACACACACACACACACACACACACACACACACACACACACACAGTGCAGACCACCACCATCAACAAGATAAGGAGGGAATCTCGCTGTTGTGGACTTCAGCCTGCTGTGACAGCAGCCATTTGCTCCATTGTCATGTCCAAGAAACAAATGCAGCATCAATGGAATAACTGTCTACATGTTGAAAATACTCCCAATCAACCCAATGCCCCTGCCTGCTCATAAACTGTCCATTATAGACCGCCCCCTCATTCATTTCCTGTCTATAATCCAATCGGATGATCTAATTAAATTAGCATGAATTGTGGGTTGTGTTCAGTATGGTACTGAACGTTGCAGATAGAAATACCCTACGAACAGACATGCTATAACTTTCTGAAGCCTACATGTTACTGATGAAATACCATGAACAGACATGCTATAACTTTCTGAAGCTTACGTGTTAGAGATGCATGTCTGCAGTGCATGCCCTAGGCATACTGAACGCGACTGTGAGCAACTTGTGTCCATTGATATCGATGCTTTGGTTAGCAAGTCGGCGCGTTAGCATGCTAACAAATAGCTGTTTCGTTAAGTTAGCTTAGCTGGCATGTGAGCATGCAAATAAATATATATTTTGATTAGCCAGCCTGAGTCTTAGCATGCTAGCAACTTTGTTTAGCTATCCAGTGTGTTAGCATGCTAATAAATATATGTTTTATTTACTTAGCCACAGTGTTGATATGCTAAAAACTTAGTTTAGCTTTCCAGCGTGTTAGCAGGCTAGCTCATAACCCTCTTCAGTGCAGAAGTTAGCCACGTGCTGAGGGCTCACGTGTGAATCCAACACTAGCCTGACCAGGGTCAGTAGCAGGATCTCCTCCCCTGCTGTCATTTAATTACATTAGCCAGACCCCTGATCTCTCTTTTCCCTTCCTCTGCACATTCCTCCCTTCCTTCTCGTCCCATCTCAGACCTAAGATGGTGACCTATTTTCCATTACAATTCCTTGGGCCTGCGCCCCTCGAGTGGCGTAACATCTCCGTTACGAGGGGTCGCTCACGTTCCTGCCGTTTGTGTGGACATGACTTGACAGGAATGAGTGATTAGGTCTGCCACATGATAAATGAGTCAGTCTGTCTCTGTCTCTCTCATGCCCCCCACCCCATCTCTCAATCTCTTTCCCTCTAAGTGCATCCCAAATAGCGGTCCTATTCCCTGTATAGTCCACTACTTTTGACCAGGGCCCATACTGGTCAAAAGTAGTGGACTATATAGGGAATAGGGTGCTATTTGGGATGCAAACACTTCTCTTTCTTTCTTTCTTTCTTTCTTTCTTTCTTTCTTTCTTTCTTTCTTTCTTTCTTTCTTTCTTTCTTTCTTTCTTTCTTTCTTTCTTTCTTTCTTTCTTTCTTTCTTTCTTTCTTTCTTTCTTTCTTTCTTTCTTTCTTTCTTTTCTTCCTTTATCTCCATCTCTCCGCCTCCCTCCTTTTCCCCATTGTTAAATTAATTTGAGAGGATTGGCCCCTGACTCCATCCCTTGCCCCTCCATTAAGTACAGTAGGAAGGTAAGATAGAGGGGGAGGATCTGGAGGACGGGTGAGGTTGTTTTATTTTATTAGAAGGGGATCATCCCACATACACAGTCTCTGTGGGAACCAGGGAGAAGGAGCATCCAATTCCGTTTTGGGAATTCTCAAACTGTGGGAATCCCATCCGGCCTTTTCCAAAGGATTTACCTCCCACAATGGACTAATCAAATGTCTCAGTCAGTCACCCCCCCGGAATCGATCCGGGTGGAATGTTCCGCTAATGACACCCTACCCGTGTTCCAGTGCATCTGGAGACTACCAATATCAAGGGAGGGGGGTGATGGATATCAGGGGAACGCTTTGCTCCTTCACCATTTTGACTTTGCAGCTTTGCCAACTAGTGACGACCTATACTTTTCCTTCATTCAAAGGGCCAGCTGTCTGTCCATCGTCTCCTTGTTGTCCTATCAGAGTTGATTGAGTGGGCATCTCACCACTCCAGATCCTCAATAGACCCATATCCTCTTAACCACTCACAGCCCCTTCAGACAGTCATCGCCTCTTCACTTCAATCACTGACTGACTGACTGACTGACTTCATGGGGTCTCCACTGTAAAAGAGCCCATAATTACACTCTCTCTCACACACACACACACACACACACACACACACACACACACACACACACACACACACACACACACACACACACACACACACACACACAGTGTGAGCTCTCTGTTTCCTCTGACTAAGTCCTCCTCCACTGTCCATTAGGCACAGTGAGAGCTGTGTTTACTTTAGCTCGTCTCTTTAGCTCGTCTCTTTAGCTCGTCTCTTTAGCTCATCTCTTTAGCTCATCTCTTTAGCTCATCTCTTCAGCTCGTCTCTTCAGCTCGTCTCTTTAGCTCGTCTCTTTAGCTCGTCTCTTTAGCTGTCTCTTAGCTCTTCTTTCAGCTCATCTCTTTAGCTCGTCTCTTTAGCTCGTCTCTTTAGCTCGTCTCTTTAGCTGTCTCTTTAGCTCATCTCTTAGCTCAGCTCGCTCTTTAGCTCATACTCTTAGCTCATCTCTTTAGCTCATCTCTTTAGCTCGTCTCTTTAGCTCTCTCTTTAGCTCATCTCTTTAGCTCATCTCTTTAGCTCATCTCTTTAGCTCATCTCTTTAGCTCGTCTCTTTAGCTCATCTCTTTAGCTCGTCTCTTTAGCTCATCTCTTTAGCTCGTCTCTTTAGCTCGTCTCTTTAGCTCATCTCTTTAGCTCATCTCTTTAGCTCGTCTCTTTAGCTCGTCTCTTTAGCTTGTCTCTTTAGCTCGTCTCTTTAGCTCGTCTCTTTAGCTCGTCTCTTTAGCTTGTCTCTTTAGCTCATCTCTTTAGCTCATCTCTTTAGCTCATCTCTTTAGCTCTTCTCTTCAGCTCGTCTCTTTAGCTCGTCTCTTTAGCTCGTCTCTTTAGCTCGTCTCTTTAGCTCGTCTCTTTAACTCATCTCTTTAGCTCATCTCTTTAGCTCGTCTCTTTAGCTCGTCTCTTTAGCTCGTCTCTTTAGCTCGTCTCTTCAGCTCATCTCTTTAGCTCATCTCTTTAGCTCATCTCTTTAGCTCGTCTCTTTAGCTCGTCTCTTTAGCTCGTCTCTTTAGCTCGTCTCTTCAGCTCATCTCTTTAGCTCGTCTCTTTAGCTCGTCTCTTTAGCTCGTCTCTTTAGCTCATCTCTTTAGCTCATCTCTTTCAGCTCATCTCTTCAGCTTGTCTCTTTAGCTCATCTCTTTAGCTCAGCTGAGGGAGGTTTGGAAGTCTGTCTATAAGGCCTGGAACAGGTCTGCAGTTACAACATCACTAAAGAACACAGTTAGTCCAAGACATATCTGTCTATGTATAAAACTATAAACTTTGGTCTGTAGACCGACACTCTTAGACATAGGCTGAATGTGAAATGCATGTAAAAAATAATAAAATTAAAATTAAAGAATTCATTTTTTATCTGAAACTCTTCTTCAGGTTTTGACATACATAACACATATGTAAGAGGAATGGCAACAGATAACACAGAAATGTGGCTTTTCTGTTTAAAGATACAAAGCCAATCACCTATCCAGAATTTTGTCCTGATAGCACAATTCTCTGCTGATAAACAACAAATAACTCACCATATTAAGAGATAGATTCTGGGTAACAACCTTCTTCAATTCTGAAGTGTTGCATTACTTGTTAAAAGACCATAACCTTTGATACAAACTTTTTAACGACTTTTTGAAGAGGAGCGGAAGTGAACCCTGGAACCCCAAAGAACTTCCGGTGCGTTTGTAAACAACAGATAAGAGCATAACCTTTGATATAATCTTTTTTATCAACTCATAATATTGTATGTCTTTCTATGTGGCAATTTGTCAATAGAATAGCAGTGTCTAATTCAGTGTCCCCTTAATCACAAGACAACAGCCGAAAACAAACACTGGATAAAGGGATTTAGTCCCTGAAGAATTGTTCAAGAAATGGTCAAACCACCTGTGTGTTCATTGTGTCCTTGTCCCACAAACACAAAGACGACACAGTCAGACAGAAAATCCATTAAGTGAGCGACTGAAGGGGTCAAGACGTAAATCTCTCTTGAACAAAGTCCCACCCCCTCCCTCGGCCCCCTTCGCCCCACTTGGTCTGTCCTGTCACCCCTCAGCCCCCCCCTTTTTGACCCCTTTGTTGGGGCGAGGCAGCTCAAGACCCAGGAACCTGCTAATTACAGGCTTTAGCAGTCTGCCAAGGAACCAGGCCCTCGGAATGGCTCGGCCACATTCCTACACTCTGTGTGTGATTGTGTGTGTGTGTCTGTGTGTGCGTGTGCGTGTGCGTGCGTGTTCTCTGTCTGTCTGTCTGTCTGTCCCTCCATCCCTCCATCTGTCCATCCGTCTGTGAGGAAACTCTCTGAGTTTTAGTGCGTATGACTTGTGCCTTGCCAGCTCACTAAGTGCACCGCAAACACTCCTCAAGGGACTGTATAGTAAACAGAGACAGACTGAGGGATTGGAGGGACTTGAGGTATGTAAAGAAAGGCAATAAGCCTTTTCTCCCTTCTCCGATGGGGTCTAAACCTAATCACACAGTTGGCCTGGTGTGAAAGGCCCCTCCCTCCCACTATAGCTGCTCAGTTGAGGTGCCGGCCGGCCAGTCCATTAAGATACACATTTCAGGTTAGAGGAACCAGAGATCCATTAAGAGGCAGATTTTGGGTTAGAAGGAACCAGAGATCCATTAAGAGGCAGATTTCAGGTTAGAAGGAACCAGATATCCATTAAGAGGCAGATTACAGGTTAGAAGGAACCAGAGATCCATTAAGAGACATATTCCAGGTTAGAAGGAACCAGAGATCCATTAAGAGACAGATTCCAGGTTAGAAGGAACCAGAGATCCATTAAGAGACAGATTACAGGTTAGAAGGAACCAGAGATCCATTAAGAGACATATTTCAGGTTAGAAGGAACCAGAGATCCATTAAGAGACATATTTCAGGTTAGAAGGAACCAGAGATCCATTAAGAGACAGATTACAGGTTAGAAGAGATCCTTTACACCTTTGACTAACATCAACTTTGACAGATCCATCAAAAAAGTGATTTGTCTTGAAATAAAACAAACCTTAAAATCCCTGTTGTTGTTCGACAGATCCGTCACAAACAAAATCTTGAACCCCCCTGTTGTGGATTTGTGTTTGAAATGGTAGGTTAAAATGTGACTAAACCTAATACCTCAATTGAAATAATCCCCAAAACCTTGATACCCTATATCGTTGATTTGAGGTTGAAAACTGGTTTAAAACGTAAACGTCACGATGATTGACTGCCTTACCCCAGTCTTGGGTTTGGTCCCAGGGAGTAGCAGTAGGCCTAGCGGAGGTCAGAGTAGTGGACACTTGATGCTGTTGTGGAGTATTCACAGACGGAGAAGTGCTTGACACTGTCCCAAAGGCCTTCACTGAGTCTAAGTCCACCTCCTGCAACCGAGGAAGGACATTGATTGTTTTAGAGATATACTTCAGAGCAATAGTTTATGGCTGTTTCTATTACTTATTTTGCTATTACTTTACAAACCATTTTAACTTCTACTGAGTTGTAAATGATACCTGAAGCGAAAGATTAAATACAAAATAATAATAACAATTTGTAAGTAAAAAGTAGTGATTGAAAGGTCCCAACTACTGTAGTTACCGGTGGTAGGTCCCATCTCCTCAAGCTAGCCAGGTTAGTATTAGGTTCTCCTGAAGCTAGCCAGGTTAGTATTAGGTTCTCCTGAAGCTAGCCAGGTTAGTATTAGGTTTCCTACTACTGGAAGGCTAAACCAGGTTAGTATTAGGTTCTCCTGAAGCTAGCCAGGTTAGTATTAGGTTCTCCTGAAGCAAGCCAGGTTAGTATTAGGTTCTCCTGAAGCTAGCCAGGTTAGTATTAGGTTCTCCTGAAGCTAGCCAGGTTAGTATTAGGTTCTCCTGAAGCTAGCTAGTATAGTTCTGAAGCAGCCGGTAGTATTAGGTTCTCCTGAAGCTAGCCATGTAGTTTAGAGTTGAGTATCTGAAGATAGCCAGGGTTTATTAGGTTTTCCTGAAGCTAGCCCGGGAAATTTTTTTAAAAACCAATTTTTTGTTTCCCCTTTTTTTGGGGGGGGTTTTTTTAATTTTTAAAAAAGGGGGAAATTTTGTTTAATTTTTCCCGGGGGAAAAAAAAAACCCAAAAAACCCCCCCCCCCGGGGGGAAAAAAAAAAAAAAACCCCCCAAAAATTTTTTTTTTCCTTTTTTTAAAAAAATTTAAAAACCCCCCAAAAAAAAATTTTAAAAAACCAGGAAAAAAAAATTTTTTAAAAAAATTTTTTTTTGGGAATTTAAAAAAAAAATTTTAAAAAAAAGGAAAAGGTTTTTTTTTGGGTTTTAATGGGAAGGGAAAGGGGTTTTAAAAGGGGGGGGAAAAAAACCCAAAAAGGGGTTAATTTTCCGGTAAAAAAAAAGGGTTTAAAAGGGGGGGGGAAAAAAATTTAAAAAAAACCCCCCCCCCCCCTTTTTTTTAAAAAAACCGGAAAAAAAAAAGGGGGGGGGGGAAAAAAAAAAATTTTTAAGGGGGAAGGGGGGGGTTTAAGGGGGAAAAAAAAGGGGGGGGGAAAAAAAAGGGGGGGAAGGGAAAGGGGGGCCCCAAAAGGGGAAAGGGGGGGGGGGAAGGGGGGGTTTTTTGAAATTTTTTTAAAAAAAAAGGGGGTTTTTAAATTTTTTAAGGGGTTTTTAAGTTGGGGTTTTTTAAAAAATTTTTTTAAAAATTTTTTAAAAAGGGGGGAAAAAAATTTTTTTTGGGTTCCCCCTTTTTTTTTTCCCTTTAAAAAAATTTTTTTTTTTTTTTTTTTTTTTTCCCAAAAAATTTTTAAATTTTAAATTCTTTTTTTTCCCCCTTTTTTTTAAAATTTTAAATTTTTTTTTTTTTTTTTTTTTCCCCAAAAAAAAAAAATTTTTTCCCCCAAAAAAAAAGGGGGGAAAAAAAAAAAAAAAAAATTTGGGGGGGGAAAAAAAAAAGGGGGGGGGGGGGAAAAAATTTGGGGGGGGAAAGGGGGGGAAAAAGGAGGGGGAAATGGGGAAAAATTTTTTTAAATTTTAAAATTTAATGGGAAAGGGAAAATTTTTTTTTTTTAAAAAAGGTTTTTTTTTTTTTAAAAAAAAAAAATTTTAAAAAGGGGGGGAAAGGGGGGGGGGGAAAAAAAGGGGGAAAAAAAGGGGGGAAAAAGGGGAAGGGGGGAAAAAAAAAAGGGGGGAAAAAAGGGGGGGAAAGGGGGGGGGGGGAAAGGGGGGGGGGGTTTTGGGGGGAGGGAAAAAAAAGGGGGGGGAAAAAAAAAGGGGAAAGGGGGGGGGGGGGGGGGGAAAGGGGGGGGAGGGGGGGAAAAAAAAAAGGGGGGGGTTTTGGGGGGGGGGGAAGGGGGGAAAAAAAAAAAAAAAGGGGGGGGGAAAAAAGGGGGAAAAAGGGGGGGAAAAAAAGGGGGGGGAGAAAAAGAGGGAAAAAAAAAAGGGGGGGGGTTTTTTTTTTTTTTTAAAAAAATTTTTTAAAAAAAATTTTTTTTTTTTTTATTTTTTTTTTTTTTAAAAAATTTTTTTTTTTTTTTTTCCCTTTTTTTTTTTTTTTTTTCCAATTTCCCCAAAAAAAAAAAAAATTTTTTTTCCCCAAAAATTTTTTTTTGGGGAAAAGGGGGAAAAAAAAATTTTTTTTGGGTTTTGGGGCAAAAAAAAAAAAAAAAAAGGGAAAAAAAAGGGTCCTTTTTTTAAAAGGTTTTTTTTTTTTTAAAAATTTTTAAAAAAACAAAATTTTTTTTTTTTTTTCCCCCCCCCTTTTTTTTTAAAAAAAAGGGGCCCAAAAGGGGGGGGGGGAAAAAATTTTAAAAAAAAAAACCCCAAAAAAAAAAAAGGGGGGGGGGAAAGGGGGGGGTTTTTGGGGGGGGGGGGGGGGGGGGGGGGGGGGGGTTGGGGGGGGAAAAATTTTTTGGGGGTTTGGGTTGGGGGGGGGAAATGGGGAAGGTAAAAAAAAAGGGGGGGGGGAAAAAAAAAGGGGGGTTTTTTTTTTTTTGGGGGGTAAAGGGGGAAAAAAGGGGGTTTTTGGGGGTTAAAAAAATTTTTTTTTTGGGGGGGTTTTTTTAAAACCCAAAGGGCCCCAAAAATTGGGTTTGGGGGGGGGGAAAAGGGGGGTTTTAAAATTTTTAAAAAATTTTTTTTCTCTCTTTTTTAAAATAAAAAATTTTTTTCCCCCTTTTTTTTTTTTTTTTTTTTTTAATTTAAAATTTTTTTAAAATTTTTTTTTTAAAGGGAAAATTTTTTTTTTAAAAAAATTTTTAAAAAAAAAAAAAAAAATTTTTTTTAAAAAAAAAAAAAAAAGGGTTAAAAAAAAAAAATTTTTTCTTTTTTTTTTAAAAAAAATTATTTTTTAAAAAATTTAAAAAAAAATTTCTCTTTTTTTTAAAAATTTTTTTAAAAATTCTTTTTTTTTAAATTTTTTTTTAAAAATTTTTTTTTTTTTTTTTTTTTTTTTTTTTTTTTTTCCCCCAAAAAAAAAATTTTTTTTTTTTCCCTTTTTTTTAATTTTTTTTTTTTATTTTTTTTTTTTTTTTAAACCCTTTTTTCCCCTCCCCCTTTCCCCCCCCCCCTCCCCCCTTTTTTTCCTTTTTTTCCCCCCCCGGGGGCCCTTTGGGGGTTTTTTCCCCCCAAATTTTTTCCAAAAAAAAACCCCCCCCCCCTTTTTTTTAAAAAAAATTTTGGGGGCCTTTTTTTTTAAAAAAAACCCCCCTTTTTTTTAAAAATTTTTTTTCCCCCCTTAAAATTTTTTTTTTTTTTGGGGGGGCCCCCGGGGTAAAAATTTAAAAAATTTTGGAAAAGGGGGTTTTTTTAAAAAAAAGGGGGGGGGGGGGGGAAAAAGGGGAAAAAAAAAAGTTTTTGGGGGGGGAAAAGGAAAAGAGGGGGGGAAAAAGAAAAAAAGAAAAAAAAAAAAAAGGGGGTTAAAAAAAGGGGCGGGGGGGCCCAAACCCGGGGGGAAACCGGGGGGGGGGTTTCCCTTTTTAAAAAAAAACCCCCCCGGGGAAAGGGGGGGGGGAAAAAAAGGGGTTTTTCCCCCCCCCCCCCCCAAACCCCTTTTTTTCCTCTGGGGTTTTTCCCCCCCCCCAAACCCAATCCCCGGGGGGTTAAAATTTAAAAAAAATTTTTAAACCCCCTTTTTTTTTTTTTTTTTTGGGGGGGGTTTGGGTTTTTTTTTTGGGGGGGGGGTTTTTTTTAAAAATTTTTTTTTTTAAAAATTTTTTTTTTTTAAAAAAGGCCCAAAAAAAAAGGGGGGGGGGAAAAAAAAACGGGGAGGAAAAAACCCCGGGGGGGTTTGGGGAAAGGGGGGGAAAAAAAAGGGGCCAAAAAGGTGGGAAAAAAAGGGGGGGGTTTTAAAAAAAAAAAAAGGAAAAAAGGGAAAAAGGGGAAAAAAAGGGGAAAAGGGGGGGAAAAAAAAACCCCCGGGTTGGGGGGGGCCCCCTTTTTGGGGGGAAAAAAAAGGGGGGGGGGGAAAAAAAAAAGGGGGGGGAAAAAACCCGGGGGGAAAAAAAAAAAACCCCCCCCCCAAAAAAAAAAAAGGGGGGGAAAAAAAAAAAAAGGGGGGGAAAAAAAAAAGGGGGGGGGGAAAAAAAAGGGGGGGAAAAAAAAAACCCCCCCTTTTTTTTTGGGGGGGGGGAAAAAAAGGGGACCAAACCCCCTTTTTTTTTGGGGGGGGAAAAAATTTTTGGGGGGAGGGGAAAAAAAAAGGGAGGAGGGGAAGAAAAAAAAGGGGGGGGGGGGGGTGGGGGGGGGGGGAAAAAAAGGGGAAAAGGGGGGGGGAAAAGGGGGGGGGAAAAAGGGAGAGAGGGAAAAAAAAAGGGGGGAGAGAGGGAGGGGGAGAGGGGGAAAGAGGGGAGGGGGAGAGGTGGGGGGGGGGGAAAAAAAAGGGGGGGAGAGGGGGAAAAACCCAAAAAAACCCCCCCCCCCCCCCCCAAAAATTGGGGGGCCCAAACCCCCAAATTTTAAAAAAGGGGCCTTTAAAGGGGGTTTTTTTTTTTCCCCCCTTTTTTTTGGGGGGGTTTTTTAAAAAAAAAGGAAACCTTTTTTTTGGGGGGGTTTTTTTGGGACGGGTTTCCGTAGCATCGAGTAAGGGCAGCAACAATAGGTAGAACAGGATAGTTTTGACAATTCCAGTTTGGTTTCCTCACACGGTGTTGTCTTTGCGGGTTTCTCTCTCTTACACAGTCAGACACTTCCTGTTGTTGAGATGGGAGACAACACCATACCGTATGAACTGCCTGAAACCTCTAGCTTTCCCTGAAACTCTCTCTCTCTCTTTCTCTCTCAGTCTCTCTGTCCCCTCCCCCCTCTCTCTCCTATGTCCTCCAAATGTAGAAGTCTAAAAATAACCATATTTGAGCCAGTATCTGGTCCTGTGTTGTTGCTGTGTTGATGAAGCAAATAAGCGGCTCCGTACAATTATCCTTATCTGAGCCATCTCTTGTTCACATGCTGAGGGTGTATAGGGCACTGATATATTGGATCCAACAGGGGCCGTTATACTCCTCAATTGCCTAGGAGAAGGATGACGTGGAGGAGAGAGAGAGAGAGAGAGAGAGAGAGAGAGAGAGAGAGAGAGAGGAGAGAGAGAGAGAGGAGAGAGAGAGAGAGAGAGAGAGAAGAGAGAGAGAGAGAGTGAGAGAGGGAAACCCTGAGTCAGACCTGGAACTTCTCTGACTGGCCTGCCCCAGTGCATATTTGCTAAGTCAATTGGCCGCACGCAGTGCAAAAGTCCTCAAACGCTGTGGTAACGTTAGACAAGTCTTTCCCATATGGCAAATAGATTGTCTTTGCACCCTCCCCATCTTTAAATCACAGTGGGCTTTTTTTCAGTCGGAGATTGAAACTGGAGACGTCCACAATAAAAGCTTCATGGGTTTTCCATGTTTTCTGAGGACAGTGATCTCACAGGCTTTGCGATGGTTTTTGGCACTGAATCTTCTGATGTCTGGTACGGCTAAAAAGACCTACAAAAAAAATGCTACGCAAATGTGAGATTTATGTTGAAGCAATGCCACATCAAGCCCTGAGGCATTATGCAATTTCACAGCCTTTTGACTATCCGTCTAGAGATTGCACTTGAGGACATCATCGGTGTCAACGCATTGTGCATCATCACTTAGATGAGAAAAGTTAAAGACTACACCCATTACTCATTCAACAAGGCAATCAAACTCTCTCTCTTTATAGGCCATCAGGGACCACATCCATTTAGAAAATGTCACATCGCTGACCGCTAACTACGTCGGTGTTTCACCATATGTACCGTGAAATGGCTTGACGTTTACTTGTGGTAAGGTGAGCGACAACCACAACAGCAAAGAACACACAGTATGGTCTGGAATGAGCCAAGTATGTGGCATGAGTGTTGTGCTTGGGCGGAGTCCCTATCCAAACGATGTGCCTACTTAAAAATAAGCAGACTCGTAAATAGGCCTAACGACTCTGTAAATAAGGTTCTGTTGTGGTTGTTTGCTAAAGGCTAGCGCTACGGCTAATAGTCGATAAACAGTCTCAGGTATTAGATTTTTGGTTGTTGCCATCAGGCTGGCGCTACCGCTAACTATGTACTAACAACCTTAGGTAGTTCCAGACAGGCTAGCACTTTGGCTAATGGTGTATACACAGTGCAAGGTATTTGGCATTTGACAGGGCTAGCTAGTACCGTAGCTAATGGTATAACAGTGCAAGGTATTTGACAGGCTAGCTAGCACTAAGGTTAATGGTGTATAAACAGTGTGTGAGGTATTTGGCTCAGTGGGGTTTGAGTCTTTCACCTCAGGGATGCCAAGCTAAGGCTGTTCTGGCTCCTCTAGCTACTGACACCCAGCGCTGTGTGCAGGGGTGGACTGGGACCAGATATCGGCCCGGGCATTGAGGTCCACACACTAGCCCATTTCCTTCCAAATATTAGCCCCAAAATTATCATTTTGTGTTATACCCCCAATTTAGACCCCCAATTCAGACCCCCTGAGCTAAAGATGGACCAACCCATCTGGCATTTGCCAGAATTGCCCTATGACCAGTCCGTCTCTGGCTATTTGTTTCCAATACCCTCACACACAGTTTCCATGCCCTTATAGGAACTTGTTTTTATGCAGCATAACATTGGGAAAGTGTAGAACATTTTACAGATCCCCTTAGTGTAGTCACAGATGGGCATCATGTGAAAGTGAAGTCATTGTTTTTCCAAGAGGCATGCCAGGCACTGCGCGGGACGTAGTGATTTGTGGGCTGGGCTTAACGTTCACCACCGCCCAATAACTGGCAGGAAGAAACTGACTATATACTACTCAGTACACACACGCGGTCATAAACAATAGCAAAATACGGAACATAGGCCTCCTGTAGCTCAGTTGGTAGAGCATGGCGCTTGCAACGCCAGGGTTGTGGGTTTGATTCCCACGGGGGGCCAGTATGAAAAATTTATGCACTCACTAACTGTAAATTGCTCTGGATAAGAGCGTCTGCTAAATTACTAAAATGTAAATGTGTGTACACTCCACACTTTCAGACTCACGCGCACAGACACCCGCCTCCCCCACACACACCAGCAAAGCCTGACCACCATGCAACAGCGAACTGAATTTATAGCTTACCTTTCTAGCGCGAAGTTTCACCACATGGTCCTCCCTCTTGTCATCCCCGCGGCTGGCCTCTCGCTTCACGTCTGAAGCCTTGTCGCCAAGATGAGTGTTGCCGGGGTTGCCTGGCTGCACTACTTCCTCAATCGCCTCCGTTGTAGCTTGTGTATCACTGGGCCTGTCCTGTTCTTTCTGACCGTCTACTGCCTCTACAACAGGTGACTCACCTAATTGTTTAACAGGGGCTTGGTTTCCATGGCATCTCTCCGGTACGGGCTCATTTGCCTCCCCAGGACATGTTGGTTGACTGAGAGTGTCCATTTTGGGGTCAGCAGCCATATTGGGGAGCCGGGCTGCTGGAGAGGTGGATATACCCATGTCCGAATCCCCTTGTCTCCCCAGGAGGACTGAGTCGTCCTCTGCTTCGAAATGGTTCATCTCATGGATGGTATCCAGCTTTGAGCCGCCATCGCTGTGCTGTCCTTCGGTTGTTACAGCCGAGGTTAGGTCTTCGGACACCAAGCCGCCACTCGTATTCTTCACTGTGAGGTCATCAGAGTGCACCTGTATCATCGGATGCTCCGTGTCCTCTACAGTAGTCCATTCCTGTATTCCGTCAATTTTTGAACGTTCAAAATTCTGCTGTCCAGCTAATGGGCGCCTGTCCAGTTCCTCAGAACGTTGTGCTGTGACACACGAAGCATTCACAGAGGCTACACTTGCCTTATCCTCTGGGGTTTTCTCCCTGCCCATTTCCAGAGCCCTTTCCTCTCCTCGGGTCCCTTCCATCTCCACCATGTCAACATCCTCCTTTCCCAACACTGTCTGGTCCTGAGCCATTTCACAACCATCATCAGTCCTCACACTATCATGCTGATCTTGTTCTGTTTGACTGCCATCCACTGACACAGCACGTTGCCCCCTCGGAATCTGGTCAAATTTATCACGACTTTCATAATCTTTCCTCTGAACATTCAATCCGTCAGCATCTTCAACACTATCCTCATTCTTCCTATCTAAGGCTTTCCTCTTAACATCTTCCTCCATAACGTCCCCCTCCATAACGTCTGCAACAGGAGCCTCCAAGATCTCCGCATGAACATCTGATATTACATCACTATCGCCCTCTGGGTTCTTTGAGGTATCCAAAATGGCTGCTGGCTGGATTGCTCCAGTGATGATGCTTTCATCTAAAGTGGAGAGGTCCTCTCGTGGTTCAAGTTCAGTATGAGGAGACTGGGTCTGTGTGTCCTCTAAGGGTTCTGGAAGTCCACCCTGACCGTCTGTATGGTTGGCCGTAGTCTCCAGGAGTTCTGGATGTCTGCCAGTTTGCTCACCAACAGAGAAGGCCAGTGAAACTCCATTGTCCGGACAAATAGAGACCCTTTGTCCCTCGTCAACAGAGAAGGATTGAACAGCGATTGCGACGCGGTCATCAACAACGTCGGGATGCTCGTTATCATCGGTGCCATCCTCAATGTCATCCTCATCCTCATGACCGCTGTCTGCAGTGCAGATGATGTTTGGCTTTGGCTGAAGAATCCCATTGCCCAGGTCACAGTGAGATTGGCTGCTAACTGAGTCCTCAACAGCGTCCGGCATTCTTCCAGGTTCAAACTCCGTCAGCCTCCCGGTGAGGTCATCATCTACAACAGCCCCATCAGAGCCATCTACCAGCTCAGCCTGGAACACAGGGAAAACAGTTGAATCAAAGTCGCCTGCTGACATCACGTGCCCCGGCGCAAAGCGATCGCCATTGTCCTCCATGTTGACCGAGGTCACAAACTCCAACGCGTGACCCTGCCCATCGTTGAGGCCATCGTGGCGCGGCCGGTGACAGCACTCCGGCATGGAGGCACATCGTTCCCTACGCCCCTGCTTGGACCCCCCCGATGCCAGCCGAGGCCCGTCGCCACTGACGCCATGGCAACAGACCAGGTCCAGGTCGTCGTAGCTGTACTGTAACCCAGAACGGTGGGTCACATGATCCTCCCAACTTTTTTTCCGTATGGAGACAAGCATGGTGGGCGGACTCCCACTGCTAACCCATAGAGCCCTTTAAAGACGTAGAACCAAAATGGCGGACCAGACGGTACAGTTCTATTGAGCTTCCTGTAAGAGAGAAAGAGAGGGGGCGGGAAACAGTTACTCAGGTTATGGGTTACTCAGGTTATGAGTTACTCAGGTTATGAGTTACTCAGGTTATGAGTTACTCAGGTCATGAGTTACTCAGGTTATGAGATACTCAGGTTATGGGTTACGCAGGTTATGAGTTACTCAGGTTATGCATTACTCAGGTTGAGTTATTGAGGTTATGAGGTATTCAGGTTATGGGTTTAGCAGACTTTAGAGACAGTATTCATGTGAGTTATGTTACAGTCTGAAAATAAACATCAGGGGGGGGTTTAATAAGAATGTTGTAATCATGTTCTATTTGTGTTCTTTGCGATATTGTAAACACAGCAGTCTATGTAAGCTGACATGGACCCCGGTTATTGCTATAGTGATGAACCCAAGCTGACATGAACCCAGGTTATTGCTATAGTTATGAACCCCATGTCAAGCTGACATGGAACAATCCTGAACCTTACAGGATTTTAACATTAAAAAATAAAATAGTTCACTGCAATTACCACAATGAGAGAATATAGAGTATCTTTCCACTTCTGTAAAACCAACTTCTCAGACAGTGGTTTGCTTTCCTTTTCTCACTATTATTAAAATACATTTGCATCTGACTGGAAGTGTGCTGTGACTTTTTCCTGTTAAAAAAAAAAAAGGTTTTATTTTACATGCGACTGGTTAAGAGAAGAGAGTTGCTTCTCATCCTAATTGTAACATTCCCAGTCAAGACAGTGAACCCGAATTCAAACTGTAAACGTTGGACACACATTACACCCAGACAGTCCCTATCAAGCACTGTACAGATGTAGGATATTAATTTGAACCAGTTTGCTACAGCAGGAAAATAATCCTACAGCAACAGGAAATGTGCATTTTTATGTGGATTATAATTAATGGACATTTGTGTAGGGGTTGATACATTTTTCGTAAAGGAAAATCAAGTCTGAAATTTCAAAGTGGAAATTACAAACTTCAGAAGCCTTTTTAAACCTCAAATACACTACACGTTTTACATTTCCTGCATTGCAGGACAATTCTCCTGCAACAGGGTGATCAGATTAAGATCCTACATCTGTACACATGAAGAGCTGGGAAGCCCCCATACATACCCCTTTCACCTATGGCTAAATATATTTTGGCAGAAGATTTCCACGATGAAGTCCAGTCAAAGATATTATGAGTATGACAAAAGAAGAGGACCAACAACGCCCCGGGACAATTTGTCCACATCAGGGATGAGGTCGTCAAGAAACCACTGTGCATCACGACTCTAACCCATTCATAACAAAACTATTAGCGTGTCTCACCCTCCAGCTCGTGAATGTGTCTGCATGTGTGTGTCTCACCCTCCAGCTCAATGCAAGCCTCTGGCTAGCCACATTCACTGTCTGGGAATGTCAGAGGGGAAGAGGCTGCCTGAGGGACACACATAGTTCCACTGATGGAGGAGGCAAAATAATAACTCCATAACACAGTTGTTGTTTTTTGGGGTTGAGAAATGCCAAGCGATTTAACCACTTTACTGAAATCTTAACCCTAACCCTAATCTTAAGAAATCTATTACTTTGATGGGACAATGTTGTTGGCCTATGTCGTACCTCAGTGATGGAGGAGACAGAGAGACAGACAGACAGACAGAAAGGCAGGCAGGCAGGCAGAGAGAGCGAGAGACAGACAGACAGACAGACAGACAGGCAGACAGCCTCCTCTATGGCTTAAACAGAGCAGCACAGTAACATAAGCAACCATTTCTGTTAAAGAAAAAATGTAATTGGTAACATTATGACAGAAGTGATAAAAAGGAAGGATTACAATGGAGGATTCTTTAAAACATTGTGTCAATCTATCAAAAGCTGATGAAGTTGCCCATAAAAAAAACAAAAAACAACAACATATAATCCATAAATCATGTCACAAAATGGTCTTTGCTCTGTATTGGAGACAAAAACGTTTTGAAAGACTTTGGTTGTGTCTGATTTGACACCCTATTCACTATGTAGTACACTACTTCTGACCAGGGCCCATAGAGATCTGGTAGTGCACTACATAGGGAATAGGGTGCAATTTGTAATAAAGCCAATGTCGGTGTATATTATTGCCAGCCGGGCCGTTGTATGGTTCTCTGAAGACCCCCACTGACAGATGTAATGTAATGGCTGTGAAGGCTGTCGCTAGGAGATCATATCGCTCATCCACCATCTGCACTGAATGGGAAACACTCCCTAGGTCTGTCCTCTGGCCTCAACAACTGGAACATCAGATTAACATGTTGATCATCATCTCTTTATAGGGACAATACACCGTCACAGAATTATCAAATCGAGATAAAACATTTTGGTTTACCATCTGTACTATAGGGGATCTCCTGATCCATCGAGAGAGTTGTAAAAGAAAGAGAATGTTGACTGCCTTGAACTTGAAGTGAATTTGGAGCTTTGAAAATGCTATTGCCAGTGGAAAAGGTGTGGGTGTGCTTATATTAAGGGAAAGCTGTCAGAGGTAGTCTCATAACAAGATTCTAGTCAGACTCTATACTCTAGACTCTAGACTCTAGTCAGTCTATACCTTTAGCATCCCCAGGACTAGTGTTGGATGGAGGGTGTCCCGGGATGACTTCAGCCTCTGACGTCAACTGGCACTTGAGTTAGGGAGGGCACCGCATACTTATCACAACTTCTCACAGAGAAGTACAATGTAGTCCGTTAGTGTAATGCGTGTGCCACTTCGCAAAACATGCCAAGATGAGTTACTTCACTGTCAATTCTCCACCAGAATACAGAGGGGTACTGTCACAGTCCCACACAGTAGCAACATAAGAGTGAATAACAGAAGAGAACAGAGGATAAACACTATGGGGTTGAAGAGTTAGCCATCCATCAAAGTCAGGGAACAGACAAAGCCTTTTTCAAGGAACAAATCCCCCTTTTCCTGGGATGTCGGTCCTAATTCCACGGTCCAGAGGAACGCTCTCAGGGTTTGCGGATTCAAATCAAATCCATCTCTGACGTTACCTTTTTTTGGGAGCAGAGAGCAGGGAGCCCCCGGAGCCAGCCGAAAAGCCGGAGCGTCGTATAATGTCCAAAGACAGCTTGAGCTTCCATCTTGATCACATTAGGGTTTTCACTGACGCTGAACGACTGGAGTATGGGTGGGGTGGAATGGGGTGAGGGTGGGTTTCTCTCACTCTCCTCCTCTCCTCCGTCCAATCCCACCTCTTCTCTTCTCCTCCTCCTTGGCTGGTTTGACAGGGAATCTCAGTCACATCCTAATCACTCTCTTTCCCGCTGATCCTGTCACAGCTCCTCCAAGACTCTCCACTCCAACCAGATCCCCACTCCTCTCAGCTGTTTATCCCACTTTCTTCCTCCTCCTTTCACAGAGTTAAGACAACTTCCTCTCATATCACCCTCCCTCTCTCAAGTCACACTCTCCTCTCTCTCTCTCTCTCTCTCTCTCTCTCTGTCTCTCTCTCTCTCTCTCTCTCTCTCTCTCTCTCTCTCTCTCTCTCTCTCTCTCTCTCTCTTTCCTTATACTCTATATCCTTACGCTGGGAAAGACTCCCTCCAGTTGGTTTTGATTAGTAACAGACAGACCACTTTGTGAAAACTCGGGCATTGGGCCAAGAGAGATTGCAGAAATGTTTTGGCAGTGCTTTCTGAGAGGTTTTCTTTTTCCATATGTCACCCTGTAACTGTACAAGCATCCTTGCACAAACATCTCAACCCTAAAAAAAAAGACATTAAAGCATGTTTACAGTCATTCCTGGAGAATATGCCACTCCATGCGAGAACTGCTAACTTGGCTGCCTAGGAGTTGTGTGTGCCTTTTCTTTACGGGACACATCTGGGCAAAGTGGTAGTTTGACTTCAGAATCACTGTGTTTTTAGGAAGTCTTCAAAGCAAAACATCTTACCGCATTTCTGAGTGCCGACCATTCATTCCCTAATATAGACATGTCGTTTGTCGGGAACGCTACCGACACTTGAAAGAAATATCACAACTTTGTAGTGAGAATATTTTAAGCAAAATCGAAACGGCATCTCTTACCAAACCAAAAAAACATAGGAAACCTTCTGTTTAGTTGGTGTAACTTTGGGAGAGATCTGTAGTCCTGTAAAGCTCTGAGGGGTTGTAAAAGGCACTGCATAACTCCACACCGAGGCATGCTCTCCCCCCACCCTCTGTAAGGGTCTCACAGGCCCAATCTAGCCTGGCTTACAACCAGGAGATATGGTCTGTGTGTTTCAAACCATTAGAATGAAAAGACCGACCATTGGAAATGTGTTTGTTTTACACACAGACCCTAACAGTCTCAGCTAGCCAACATACCTGTCATTCCAATTCCACCATTCCCATTCGCAGTCTCTTGGTTGTTGTTGATGTCAATGTCTATGATTGTTTTCTGTTGTGTTTTCTACGTATGGACCTGATGGTAACAGTTGCTATAGCAAAAACAAATAATGGAGCAAGGGAAAAATTGACAAACCCCCACCACCAACAGCAACAAAAAAAAAGTCAACCCTTGTGCCCCCTCTTCCTCTTGTGGGTCATCCAGATGGGAGGGGGGAGGCTCTGGGGCCTGGGGGAGTTCTTAGAACTCTCTGTGGGAAACTCAAGCTGTCCTATTTCTGACCCACCATTTTGGGTCTCGGGGGACACATAGGGTTCCCACCACATGGCCAAGCTGCAAAGTCAAAATTGGCTATATCGTAAAAATTTATGAACACACATATATAGAGTGTGCAAAGCTATCATCAAGGCAAAGGGTGGCTATTTGAAGAATCTCAAATATATTTTCATTTGTTTAACACTTTTTTGGTTTTTACATGATTTCATATGTGTTATTTCATAGTTTTTATGTCTTCACTTTTTGTGGTCCTCTGTAGCTCAGCTGGTAGAGCACGGCGCTTGTAACGCCAAGGTAGTGGGTTC